TATCTAAAAATATCTACTCTTAATATTGGAATGGTGGTGTAAATTCAAATGGATTTTGGTGGAGACATTCAAATGATAGCAGTTGCACTTTAAACTAGTAGTATATAGTCTGTTTTATATCCTGGAAAGAGTTGCTTATTGCACATTACTTTGCCCTATATATCACAGATTGCCTTTGCCGTTGAGGTTAACTAATTAAATATTCGGTAATCTCACCTAACTTCGTTTTCTTAAACAGTGTGTGTTAGTGTAGTAGGAACAAGGGAAAAGGGATATGATATATTTGGCTGACTTCAATCAAACCTAAGATGGTGTGTGTGTAATAGTATAGTTTTGATTGAGCTGTTTTTGCACTGTCATCATACTGACCAGAGTCAGATTCTTACTTGGCACATCCAGATGCTCCAACTTTCTGTGACCTAGATAGAAAACATATGGAGGTTTGTGTGTATTTTTAGCATGTTAAGCTTTAAGCCTAAGGGCAAGGTCTACAAAAACTTTAGGAAGTGAAAGATAATCTCTGTTTTTGAAAATTGTGTAGAATCGATGAAGTGGTAGGGAAAGCAAATTATCTTTTCTTCAGAAAATGTAGTTAAAAATTCAGTTTCTTCTGCACTCAATTTTATTGCATTTAATTGTTTAATTTTTGAATAATGAATCATATTTTGAAAATAACTATTGCTTATGTAATAGTGAAGATTTTACCTGTTGGCAGACCTGTTTATCATTTATTGCTGTTCCCAGTGTAACTAGTTGGAAATATCCCTACAATGAAATCATGATTCTAAGTTGCTAGCAACACTGTTCCCCTTAAAATAAAATAGATTTTAAAATCATACTTCTTTTTCTCCTGTGCCACAGCTTTTCTAGAACTCACTTGTTGAAGTGATCTTTTTACAATTCTGTATTCAGCAAGAAGCATGGTGAATTAGACCTTCATTAGTCAGCAGCTGAGATTTATACCTGTACCTGAAGCATCCCTGTAATATAAACAAGTAAATAATATACTTATCTTAGCAGTAGTACCTGTTTTTTAGGGCTGTAATTTTAAGACATTAGTTTCTTGAAATATTTTCTTTGCTATTAAAAAAAAAATATATATATATATATATATATATATATAGAGATAGAGAGAGAGAGAGAGAGAGAGAGAGAGAGAGAGAGTCAGTCAGTCACTGGGGATGTGGCTTAGTGGTAGACTGTTTGCCTAGTATGTATGAGGCCTTAGATTTGCTCCCCAGCATGGTGAGACCATGTGGGCATGGAGGGGTGGGTGTTGCCTATGTGTATATCCATATCTGAGAAGGGGAACGTTTTTCGTGAATAAGTTTTCATTGTACACTTCCTTATTGTAAGAGACTTCTGATGTGGGTCATTTTATTCCCATACAGTTGCTTATCAGAACTTTATGTGCTTTCTATTATTTTTGAATATAGATATTCACCAGCTGCTGGCTGGCTTAAAACAGTGGGCATTGTAGCAGAAGAGCTGCTACACACAAAGTCGTGTGTGCATGTGTGGCAATTCTTCAAAAAATTAAACACAGAGTTGCCGTGTGGCCCAGCAGTCCCACCCCGCTGTGTATAGTCAAGAGACATGAAAACTTAATGTCCATACCAAAACTCATCATTCATAGTAACCGAAAAGTAGAAATAATCCAGATACTCATCTGCTAATGAATAATTCAAATGTATATCCATCCAGTGGAATAAAAGGTAATGAAGTATTGCTTTAACTTGAGTGAGCCCTGAAATTTTCAGTAAGCATTTATTGAACTTGCTTAGTATTGTTGTAGGAATTATCAGGGACTCAGCACCGAAGAAGCTGAATTTCCCATCTTCCTCTTGCCACAGCCTTTTCTCCTGAATTTCCTGTCTTAGTGAGTCGGTGATGCTGCTGCCATTCTAGTTTCTCAGGTCAAGAGCTTGGGAAGCCTTTGTGTAGTCAGTCACCGCATCACTTCAGATCAGCTTTCAGCCTTTAGTCTGTCTGCTTTTCCTCTTATCAATGCTGGTTCTGTAATCCAGCCCAGTAATTCTTAGTTATAGTGTTAGTATTAGTAAAATTGCAAATGGTTTACCTTAAAAATAAAAACAAAAACTAGAAGGATAATCCTGTAAATGTGATGTTCGCTGGCTTGCAGTCCATTATACTTTTAGCAGTAGAAAAAGCAGTAGCATCACAGGTAGTGTAGCAGGAATTAGCATTCTCAGGGCACCTGTAGAAGTACCTTGTAAGTGTGAACTTCATTTTGCAAGTCCTCAGTAAAAGCTGAGACCCTCTGAGTTGGATTAATATAGTCATGTTTTTTTTTTAACTCCATGTTACTCTAATTTCAGCTTTCACTAAACCATTCTTGTCAAAGATCTCCATCTGACGTCCACAACTGATCGTGATATTTTCCCAATTAGATTTTTCCAGTGAACTCTGTATTGCAGATAAGAGAAACCAAACTCCTGTGTATCATGTGCTCGCTCACTAATGATTTTGCTCCAATCTCTGCAGCTTCATCTCCAGTAAGGCATACTCTATACTTTGATGCTTCTGCATGTAATTTTTTTTAAAATCAGGAATGATTAGTCAGAGAGGCAAACTCCTTTTTCCAGTCTTACCCACATAGCAGCTTCTACATGCAGTAGATGTAGGCTCCATTTTCTGCCTCCATTTTTAGCTTCGTAAGAGCTGAGATTCTTTTAGTTTGGAATGTGGTACAAAGTAGATTCTCCATAGGCATTTATTAAATTCAAAATTTGTGTCTCCAAAAATTTTAATTTAGCCCAGATATTTATGTATTATAATATATATGATATATAATATAATGAAAGGATTGAAGATACCTATGATGCCTGTATCTTACATCTTCTGGAGCTTCAGACTTTAGCCTTTTTTAAAATTAACTTTTATGTAGAAATGTAGTTAACAAAACATATCACTATATTTTGTTTAGAGATAGACACATTAAAGCTGTACCTTAATTTTTAAAATTGTGTTCAATTTATTTTTATACTTTGATTTTATGTATTTTATATTCTTTTTCTAATACAGGTTACTTTCCCAGCAATGGGTAGTGACAACTTGAACTTAAGGATGGAAAAACACCTGAATTTTTTCTAGTGCTGCTGTTTCACCTCACAATTTGAGATTAATTGCTCCACATCTATATTTATATAGTATTAGTAAATGTAAAAGTTTGGAAATTTGGAAATCCTTAGGTGTGAGTATCTGCTTAAGATTTAAGACTGATACCAACAATTTCCAACTGCATTCTAGCAGCACTGGAGACAGAATCCAGGATCTTCCCAGTGAGCCACATCCCCACCCCACCCCTTCTTTCAAATTTTGAGACAGGCTCTCACTAAGTCTCTAAATGGCCCAGGCTTGTGATCCTCCCACCTCAGCTTCCCAGAGCGCTGATGCAGCAGTGTGCCACCGTGCCCAGTTCTTTTAGACATTTTTTATTTTGGGTTTCTTTGATTTAAGGGTCCAGCTTTACTTCTTCTTGCCCTTCTGAAGAAAAATGTATTCATCTTTAGATGACTAGGTTAAAAAGAATTTTGTTTTCTGCGGTTATCTGCTAATACCATTAAGATAACTGGAAATTACATGCCATATCACATGACCATGGAGGGTATTCATACGTGAAAAGTACATTTGTCGGACAGACATTCTTTTTTGGGAATTCCTGTTTCAAGTCTGGATTTGGTTCTAAATTATGATTGCCTTTGACTGTAGAGGAGGAGAGAGAAGTGTTGGAAAGTGAAAAAGGATGAGAGGTTTAGAGCCAGAAAAATTTGGGTATACATCTTAATTCTGTGACTTACTGTCTGCGGTATTTCTTTGGGACAATTATATCTTTGAGCTTCATTTTCCTCAGGATCTACTCTCAGTACTGTTAGAATGGCAGTGAACTTTCAACATGAGTGTCAGAGGAGACATTCAAATGATGGCAGTTGCACTTTAAGCCAGTGGCATGTGCTCTCTGTTTTGTGTTCTGGAAGGAGGTGCCACTGCATATTTTTAGTTAATTGTGTGCCATCTTTGTGCAACTTACTTTTCCCTGTATGTTACAGATTGCCTTCACTGTTGAGGTTTACTGATGAAATATTGATAAACATAACTACTTCCTGTCTACCACACTTTGTGTTCTTTCTACCTCTGGCCACTCCTTTTTTGGTCTGTCTTGAATGTTGATATTGATGTGTTTTCTCCTTGGTCTTTTGCACATTTTTAACAGGACTTGGGGAGTGCTAAGTGAATATTCGTTGAGCAAATGGATTGTTTCTATCTTGACAATTTCTCAAGGGATTTGACTGTAATTGGACCTCATTAACTAAAGTGATTGCAGTATATCAAACTCGATGGTGCATTTCACAGTCAAAGTTTGGTTTAGTGTGTCTGGGCCATGGTTCTCCTAATCTACCCTCCTACATACATGTAGTGAAAAAAATCCAAATTCATCACATCTGCTTATGAGATTCAGTTAAGTGTAAGTAATTCCTATGTATATTAAAAGTAATTACAAAGGTAATTTTAAAGTACTTGCTTTTTCCAAAATTTCTACACTTACTTCACTTTGTACAGAAATCTCGTAGCAGCATGGTCATCCATCCTCTATAAAGTAATAATTATCTTACTTGGAATAACACTTAAGTTGTAAATATACATTGAAGTACATATTCTGAAGTTTGAAATGAGAAAAAGGGAGAGAATATTGAATGATTTTATGCCACTGTGATCTGTGCTTGCTTGCATTATATATTTTCATTTTTCCAACAACTCTGAAAAAGAAACAGCCTTTTGTCAGGAGAAGACCAAGGCTAAGGGAAGTTGAAAGTATTGAACAGTGCAAATCACACAGCTTCTAGAGTTAGGAGTCAAGGTTTGTTCTGTCAGACTTTATGGCTCCTAAGTCCATTCTATAAAAACACTAGTAAACGTAGAAATAATTTCTGTAAGTTCTTGAATTTAGTTAAAAGTTGTGTATGTCATTTCATCTGTAGGCAGTTATTTGGCAGAAAACCAGAGTGTCTGATCACAAGACAGCTCTCATGTCAGTTCTGGGGAATGCTGTTATGGGCAACTTGGAGCCTTTTCAGTACCACTCCGAAGAGTCTCAGGTATGCACAAAAATGTTCTTTCATAATTTTGACTTGGCAATGATGGGGTTAAAATATTTCTCTTGGGAGTTAGAATAAGAGGTTTTTCTTGTGACATTTTTATCAAAATATGTATATAAAGTAGGTAGGAAAGAAAATACAACTGGGCGTGTTGGCGCACACCTATAATCCCAGCACTCAGGAGGCTGAGGCAGGAGGATTGCTGTGAGATTGAGACCAGCCTGGGCTACCTAGTGAGTTCCAGGTCAGTCTTAATTACATTGTGAGACCCTGTCTCAAAAAAAAGAAAAAAGAAAATATATATAGAACTAACCTCCTTCCCCAGCCCTGCTTTCATCATTTTTGTTGCTTAAATTGATTTTTAAACAATAATAATTTTCAATTTCGAGTCTTATCTTCCTTTAGACAGTGAAATTGTTGAGATTGCTTATCTTTTCTTTCTCTTTACTATTGTATACACACACTCAGACTTTCTTTTCTCCAGCTATCAGCTTTAGTGCTTTCTGATTCCCTGTGCTGCTCTATGATCTTCCTCTCACTTGCTCGTTCCTCTTTCAGTTCTGTCGGTAAGACATTTTATTATCAAGCTGAATAGCATATTTTCATAGGTAATTTTTTTGTTGCTGTTGTTTGCAGTACTTTAGGAGTAAATCCAAGGCCTCATGCTCTACCACTGAGCCATACTTCTGGTCCTATAAACATTTTTGCTTTGCTTTGCTTTGCTTTGAGATAGGGTCTTGCTATGTATTCAGTCTGGCTTTGAACTCACTATGAAATCCAGGGTGGCCTTGAACTTTAGGGATCCTGACTCAATTCCCCTTCCCCCAAAGTGCAAGGATCAACAGGCATGCACCACTATTCCTGGCCCTGTAACCAGTTTTTAGGTCTTTCATCTTTTGTCTGAATATTGATTTCCAAAGGTTGAACACTTATGTGGAGTGTAAATTATTATGGCTATAAGTGGTTTTCATTGAAGAACCTACTGTTGTGTTATGATTACACTCTTCATGAAGGATCCAGTAGTATGTCTTTTATGCCATACAAATGAAAATATTCCTTTTGTCTTGATGAAATAAGATTTTTCTTTCTTGTATTACCATCAATCACCAAAAGTATATCACTGATTTTCTTTGCTTCACACTTGAACTGCCTCAGAGGTTTTTGGTTTTTCTGAAGTTTCCAAAAGTTTTTCTTAAGTGAAATTTTCTTTATCAAATCAGTAAAAAAATTCTTTTGATCATTCTGCTATAGTTTATAATCCATTCCATTACCTCTTTGTAAAGTCGTTGGTCTTAGAACCCACTTATTTCTTATTTGGATTGCTTGTATTTTAAGCTTCTCATCATGAGATATATTTACATCAGAACACTGGTTTGTTCCATTACTTCTTATATCCCAAGTGTTTGTTGGTATTCATTCTCAATTTGTCAAAGGTGCAACTTTAAATATCTTCCACAGAAAGGAGATATGAGATAAATTTTAATGTCTGAAAGTGACATTATTTTGCACTTTTTTTGAGGCAGGGTCTCACTATGTAGTTCAGACTGCTCTGGAACTCACTGTGTAGCCCAGGCTGGTCTCGAACTCGCAGCAATCCTCCTGCCTCAGCCTCCCGAGTGCTGGGATTACAGGCATGCGCCACCACGCTCAGCTTATTTTGCACTTTTTATGTTGATGGTGTTGCAGACACAAAATTATAGATTCAAAATAGTTTTTCCTTAAAACGTTGGAGACATTGAGTACTCTTTAATCATTTATTGTTGACTTGAAGACTTTTTCTAGATGATAATTTTTTTCTCTTTGAAAATTCTTTGGATCTTTCCTTCATGTTTATTCTTAGATTTTACAAAAAAATTGTCTAGATTTATGTCTTGTTAGGTTATTGTGCTCAGCAATTACATGAATGTGGAGACTCATTTCTTTCTTATTCCTGGGTTATGTGTTTCCATCCATGAACAGTGTTTCTCTCCCTCTCGCTCTCCACTGATTAGGACCTTCTCTTTTCTCAAGTTTACATCTTTTCTTTTTACTGTAAGTTTTGGGAGCTCTCACTGAATGTATCCTTTAATTCTTTTAGGATAAACAATTGAGTTGTTTACTTTGGAAGTTATGTTTAATTTCAAAGGACATTTCTATTGTTTTTTTATAACTGCTTTTGAATATAAAACCTTAACTCTTTCTAAAGATACTAAGTTTTTGTTTTTAAAGTGTTTCTTCCTTAAATAATCCTTTTCTAAGCTTTTGTTCTGCTTACCTAAGAAGTATTTTTGCAAAGTGTCTGATTCTGTGTCTTTTCCCTTAAATAGGAAATCTAATTGGGTGTTGGTGGCTGGGCTTACTGGCTATACGTTCTCCTTCAGTGTTGTGTAATCAAGATCCTCACCATGTTCCTGGATTCTGGGAAAATCCAAATTGCCATAATGGGGTGAGGGCCTAAGGTTTAATCTGCATACTATATTCTTACTGCTGAGGTTCTTAAGAAACTAGTTATATCTGTCTCCCTGCATCTCTTCTTTTCTCCTTTTCTTTCCAACGCAAAGTTACATGAATTGGAGCTAAGATATATTGTCCATATTCAGTTTCATTAGAGAAGAGGAGTTTTGTTTGGTTGGCTGCTAATTTTAAACCTGTAGGATCTCTGGAATTCTGTTGCTAGTAGTAGCTGACTCAGGATGCCAAGGGTACATCTGAATTCCCTCTGAGTTCCTGTAGCTTCGTAAGGCTCTGTTGCCTCTGTGTCCTCATACACTGGCTATCCGAATTTGATCTACAGACTAGTAGTATTGGCATCAAATAGAAGTGTTTTAGAAAAAAAGAGTATCAGACCTTATCTCACATCTACCAAATCAGAACCTGCATTTTTACAAGGTCCTTAAGTGCACCATTCAGAAATGGAAAGCAGTGATCCAGACCTTGGTCAGCTACAATTCGGTGTGTGGATGGAACTATCACAGGAGTCAGTCCTGCAGTTGAGAATTTTTTCTTTTGAAATAGGATCACTTAAAGACATTTATGGTAATCTGTCAGATATCAGAATTATTGCTAGACCTTCATGTGTTATTTTTGCATGGAGGAATGAAAGGAATTTGGAAAGCATGTGTTAGTGTTTCATTTACCGGTACTGAGAGTTTAGAGCGTGTCTGGTGAGGGTGACCATAGCAGCACATCCCCCTCTGTCCTCGCACTGTGTCTACATGGATGTTGTATCTGTGTCGCCACCATCCACTCCACACTCTTTACTTTCATGTTCTTTTCTCTTGTATTGCTTGTGTAGTTAAAGGAGACTTGTCCCACATCAGTTTCTTTGAGTCTCTTCTTGTCCCTGGCCAAAAGCAACCCTGAGTTGATTTTCAGCTCCCGTTACATATCTTTAAGTTGTAAAACTTGTCCACCAAGGCCTTCTCTCTGCACAGATCCATTGGCTGATGGGAACCTGGCCTGTAGATCATCTTTGTGTATCTCTTCCTTTAATGGGAGAGTCCATGTTTTAATCTGTAGGGAGGAACAGCCTTGTGGTGGCTGATATTCTCCATTGAGCCGCTACTGTAGCATTTTTTTAAGGTATTTTTCAGGTGTGGCTCTTTTGACCTGTTGGAGCTCCTTCTGACATCTCTGCATTACTCCATGCTAACTTAGTACTGCCTGATTTTTAACCCCTAAACCGTATTATTTGTTTTTAGGATTCAGAATTATTTTGATATTCTTCTTTCTAAATTTGATTTGTAGCTACTCATTTACAGTCATACCTTTTTACTCCACTGCTCTGAAACGTGTCGAATTTGGTATTTTGATGTGAAAATTTTGTTCCAGTCATTGATTTGGTACTTGATGTGCAGGAAAACTTGCTGGGGTCAGTGGCCTCATGACTTGCTGTCCTTTCCAACCAAAACAATTTGTTGGGTACTCATTGTGCCTTCCAGAACCAATTAACAATAAGTACTAACGTATCACTGTACTAAGTTCAAAGTCCTTTTCATATTGCTGTCATGTCTATTTTCCTGAGAGAAAATCCTCTTCTCTGCTATTTTATATGCTTTGAAATTTCAGGTTTTGAAATTATTTTGAATGCAGGTTTGCTTTGGTTGTTTTGCTTCCTCTCCTCACTTACCTCTCCCATCCATAGTTTGACAGATCCTCCCCTCCCCATTCCTGATTCAAAACCAGGTGCGATATTAGCAGTTGATGCCTCAGCCTGCCAAGATTTTACAGACTTCTTTTCTTAGCCAGCTTGGCTTAGCCTTGTTCTTGGTTTTGGAGTTGTCTCTGTTCTTTCCTGTGACCCTGGCAAGCAGCTCCAGACAGTGATCACACAGCATTTTAAAGTTTTGTTTTGTTTTTTGTTTCAGAGATGGTGGTATATGAGCTCTCTTATTTCAAACAGAAAGACTAATTTCAGTCCCCTGCCTTGTACAGAGCGTGTTTTGTCCTCATCTCCTTGCCAGAATTTAATTTCCAAATGGCATACCTAGTGTCGGATAGGAGAAGGGGATTTTTCACTTGAACTTGTTTCACTGTTCTAACCAGAGTATTTCAGTTATTTAGAAATGGGACTCCATGTTTGTTATGTTAGGTTTTTTGGCTAAGAGAACAATTAGTGTTAGGAGACTAGTTCAGGTTATATCAATATAATGAGTAGAGAAAAGGAGGTGGGCTTAACAGACTCTGTAAGTGACAGGAGTCTCATAGTAAAGGAACTCAAGAGGATCCAGTTAGCAGGGTAGAAGTGAGATGACATTTTATGAAGCTTTGAGCTTGAGATTATTTTTGTGACAGTTGCAGTTGGTACTCATTTGGGAGTGAGAGAAATACAAACTATAGTATCTATGTCTTAGCATCATTTTATATGGCTAGTTGTTGAAACTATAGTTGAGAAAAACTATTCATAGTAATTGGAGAGCAAGGAAAAAAGGGTCTGACGATGGAATTCAGGGGGACCATCGTCATTTATAGGGCTACCGAAAGAAGAGAAACCAGTCAAGGAGGAAATGTTGTAAAGTAAGCAGAGACACCAAGAGAGCATTGAAACAGATTCATGCATTGGAGTGAGTGCTCACCAAAGGAAAGAGTTGCCATTCGTGAGGGTAGGGGCTTAGGGAGTCACATAAGATGACTAGAGTTGGTCATTAAAGCAGAAGCCACCTTAGAAAGTGGGTTGAAGAAGAAGAAAGAAAGGCACATAGTTGAGAAGCAACCAGCCAACGGAGCAGTATTTGATTGTACTTTGCCTTCAATTTCTATTTCCATTTCTAGGTTGAGGCCCAGAATCTTGCAAGGGCTGTCTCACTTTTGTTTTGTTGTAACGGTTTGGTCTTTTGTATTTGATTTATAAGAACTGTTTCATTTTACTTTCTATATAACTTAAATATAGCTTGTTAAGATTGTCCTAAAGCATTGTAAAGCAGTATACCATATAACATGCAGCAATTATAAGGTAGAGTGAAAGGAAGGTTCTAACAACTATATCTACTCTTTTATTTTCTTCTTTATTCTTACACTTTCAGACCAGAGGGCAGATTTTTTTTTTTAATTCATATAACCAGTGAATGTTTTAGAACTTAAACAGTCTTTTCCTGTTGCCCAGCAGGTGTTTTAAGAAGAGTCTCATGTTTCCTGGTAAATTATACAACCATTTATAAAGGCTGTGAAGTTTTACAGTTAATTAAGTGGTATCATTTTGTAATGGATTATCCAGATTTATTAATTTATTTTTTCAAACTGGCACCATTTGGCACCCTGCCAATAATGCACTTAGTGTTCTAAAACTGGTAAAGTATCTCCTTCAACACGTATTTCCAAGGGGAGGGACAGCCACAGACAGAGGTGGTAGCCTACAGGCTTGTATTGGTAAAGGAGCCTCATGGTTTCTGCTCAACTAAAAATAGCACTCCCACTGACATACTTGTTTTCTTTAACCTAAGTTACAATTTTACTAGTGGTCTTTCTCAGCAGATTAATAATACATTGAGTTCCACTTGTTTCAGATAAGAGATTATAGGCCTATATTTTAATTACCTTGACCTAGTGGATATAGGATTCAAACCCTGGCATTCTAGCTCTAGCCTACTTTTAACATTCTCTGTAGTGTCTTTAGCTGTGTTAATTAGCTAAGGGTAAAAGTTAGGAACGTGTTCTCTGCCTCTCAACCCTTAAATCTCTTTCTTTGGTTATCTTTTCTTGTATCCTTCATTTTTTCCTCCTTCATACATTTGTAGCATAAGAATAATTTGTAAATAATTAGTAAAATTTTTGTAGAAAATTTCTTCAAGCAAAACTGAACATAAAGAGCAATGGGTACCCTAGGAAGTTAATTCAAAGAGTAAAAGACATTTTTTTTTAAACTTGAAAATGCAGGCCCAGTGAAATTAGCAGTGTAGAATACTCAAAGATATACAGCAACTTCTTTATAGTTAAGAGAAAGGGACAAACAGCCAGAAAGAAAGCACAATGTGGGAAAAGAAACTGTAAAAAGAAGGTAAAGCTAAGTAGAGAGAAGGTAGTTTGTCCTGTGACCATTAAATAATTAAAAGTATGACTGTGAAGATTTTATAAATGTTCATTATTCCTTAAAGTTAGAAATACCAGTTTAGTATGCTCCGGGATTTTATTCAAGGTTAATTCTTGAAATGTGAAGTATATATCTCTTTTAGATCTTAAGTTGAAATTATTATTTTTTTTAACCTTTTAATGTGTTGTCTATAGCAAGACCATTGAATGTGGATATTGGATACTCAGTGACTGTTTATTATGATTACAGATTTATCTAAGTGGATTCCTTCCAAAGCTTGATGCAGACCACTCTTTCACAAGTCTCTCGACTCCAGAGAGGAGTTTCATCTTTATAAATCATCGACCTGTCCATCACAAAGACATATTAAAGGTAATCCCTTTTAGGAAAAAATATCACTTTGGTCAGAGATTTAAAACCAGCTCTGTCATTTGTTAGAGTGTTACAAGAATGACTACTAGAATTTGCTCTAAAATAAGGAAAAGAAGGCCATAAACAGATAATCGCTTATTAAGCATCGTGCTGGGTATTATTTACATATTCTGCTTTGCTTACTCTGTACAACAGCTCTGATGCACAGTTATACCCATTTATACTGCGGAAACAAATGTTAAAAGACTTACTTAAGGAAAGTAGCCAGAAAGTAGCAGTTTTGATTTGAACCCTTGCTCCTCTCCGTTTCACTGTGGTGTTCAGCCTTGAAGCCATTAGCCTTGCGCTGGATGCGGTGCTTCTTGGGATGCTTGTGCTCGTGTAGGTTTGGGCCCTCTACAGTGGGGTTACCACTGCTTACATGCTGCTTTTCCCTCTGGGTGGTTGGCACCTACTCAGCGTTTCAGTTGAATCTGCTGCTTTTGGTGGTCTTTTAAGGTTGGCAGTACTGTGTTTAAATGGTACTTTTGTGTTTTATTCATTACATGTATTTCTAGTTAATCAGACATTATTACAATGTGAAGTGCCTAAAGGAATCTACTCGTTTATATCCCATTTTCTTTCTGAAAATTGATGTTCCTACAACTGATGTGGATGTAAATCTAACACCAGATAAAAGTCAAGTATTATTACAGAATAAGGTAACTTTTCCAGATAATTTTTGTATTAATTTATGCTATAGAAATGTGTGCAGGCTGTTTTCATATAAAAAGACTTCCTTGCTTTATATTTTTCTTTTTTATTCATTTTAATTTTGTCTGCTATTTTCATAATATCTTTTAATATTTTTTAATTTGTCTTTTTTAGGAATCTGTTTTAATTGCTCTTGAAAATCTGATGACAATGTGTTATGGACCACTACCTAGAACAAATTGTTATGAAAATAATAAAACAGATGTTTCCTCAACTGACATGGTTGTTAGTAAAACAGCAGAAACAGATGTGCTTTTTAATAAAATGGAATCATCTGGAAATAATTATCCAAATGTTGATACTCCAGTCATTCCTTTCCAAAGTGATGTACATAATGATGAATCAAGAAGAAACACTAATAATTATTTAAATCAGCAGACAAGTATTAATGAACATTGTGATGATTTTAGTAGTGAAAATTCTAATATTGATAAGGACACTAGAAATACATTTCCAAAAAGCCCAATAAATAACTTAGCATCAGAAGATGCCCCAAGTGCTAATAGTGAAACTGGTTTTGTAGGTTCTGTTAAGGGTGCCCAACTAGAATATGGTGGTAAAAGCCATATACATAAAAAGGGGGAAAATGAAAAAGCAGCAGTTCCTGAGAAGTCCTTAGAAATTTCTGCAGATGACTGGAGCAAGGGAAATGTACTTAAGAGTTCAACAGGAGAGTATATTGAACCTGTGAAAATTTTAGTGCCTCAGGACAGTTTAGCACATAAAGTAAGCGAGAATAATCATTCAAACCTTGAACAAGAAAATATCAGAGACGGCCCCTATAACAAAAAGTCAAATGTGATAGATAACAAATCTGGACAGCTGACAGCCTATGATTTAATTAGCAATCGAGTAATTAAGAAACCCATGTCTGCAAGTGCCCTTTTTATTCAGGAACATCGTGCTCAGTTTCTCATAGAAAATCCTAAGACTAATTTTGAGGATGCAACAGTACAAATTGAAGAACTGTGGAAGACATTGAGTGAAGAGGAAAAACTCAAGTAAGTTTCCAGAGCTTGCATGTGACCTGACTGCTCAGCTCTTTCCATTCTATATGACTCACTGTTTTTTTTTTTTTTTTTTAAAGGACTTTTTAAAACTTCTTATTTACAGAAAAGCAGAATGGAAAATGCCTTTTGGCTTGGCTAGAGTATATTTTTTGTATGACTTTTTTTTTTTTAATTTAGGGACTTTGAGGGTATTACTTTTTATTTTAAAATGGGTTGTTTTCTTTGTACAAGTCTCAATTGCTTTCTGATTTGTTAAATTTATTGTTAAAGGTTTCTATTATCCTCATTTTGAAACCACCATTTTCTTTTTTAAAATTTAACTGTGGCAGGACTTTTTTTTTTTTTTTTAAAGCTTTGTACTAGAGGAGTCAAACAATGATGTTTTTAATTTCTTGACTGTGCCTTTTAAAAAATTAGTCTCTAAAATGTATAACACAATACATAGAATGGTGGCATTGTTCCAGGATCATTTTAGTGTTTTTAATGCCATTTCTTCTCGGTACAACTCAACTTTTGCTTCTGTAATGTGTTGTTTCCTTACTGGTGCCTTATGACCTGTACTGGGTGTTTGGGGGATGTAAGTAGGTGATGGCTGTATATCTGATTTCAGTATTACTTGCATATTTAGATCAGATGATCTAAATAAATGTTCCAAAATACTGTGGTGTTTCTAATTGACTTAGAATACCAAATATAAACATAATTATGTCTTGAGTGATATAGCAAAAAAAAAAAAAAAAAAAAAAAAAAAA